TCCTCCTCCTCCTCCTCAGCTGACCAGCACAACTGGGGGGGGGGGGAAAAAAGGGAGCCATGGACCATGAGGAAAACCACATTCCCGCTTCCCATTCTGGCATGTCCCCAAGAGCCCCCTCCCTCAACAGAGGAAGAGGACTCACCCAACGACCACTGGTGCCCCCCAGCCAGCCCTATCTCACAGCAGGCATCCAAGTCGCTCCCTCATCCTTCCCTCAATGCCCACAGCTGTTAAGAGATTTCAAATTTCGGTCTCATTTTCCAGAGCAGCCAATTGCCACTTGCCCATCGGGCCTTGCCGCCATCTGAGGGAGGCAGGAAAGAGCTCAGGGATACACCCATGGCAATCACATGGCTTTGGCTGACCACAGCAGTGCAGCAGCCCACCAGTGCTGTAGCAGCCACAAATTTCCCAAATTACAATCCCACAAGAGTAATGGGTCCCAGATTTTGGATGCATTCTCTAAGTTAGCCCATTTGAGGTACATTGGTTCAAAAATGGTTGCCTATGATGCACTGTTTCGCCCAGTTGTTTACAGGCCCAAAAGTTTTAGTAGTATATAGATGAGAATTATAGTGAACATTGTAACCTAGATGCAGTTAAATTTTCTTTTATTTTTCTTATCATGTGCTTTAATTTCTATGGCTTTCTATTTCTTACTCCTTTCTCCACTTTGCATACCATTACTTACGCCCCAAAAAAGTAACATAACAAGAGTAATGTTCTGTATATATATTCTATATATGTGACTCCCTAATATTTTAGTTTGTTTAAATCTCCTCTGATACCTTATTTGTAAAACTCATAGACACATTTATAAATTTCTACTTTTCAGACATTAAATGATATAAATGATTGCTTCTGTGAAAATTATTTATTCTGTGAAATTTATTCTAGACCACTTCCTATCATTGAGCATGCCAGTCAGGTAGAGGGTAATTTGTAGTTATGATCAGCTCAAGGGTACATTGCACCCCTAGGCCATATTGACTGGTGCCACCACCCAGCAATACAAAGATTTGCATTTTTAGAAGGATTAAGAAGAAGGAGTAGCGTTGATGTCCCTTAAGCTTTGGTTCCCTAGGCCAGTGCCTACTCGGCCTTAGTCTAAAGCCAGCCCTGTTTACAATAATGTGTCTTACTCCATTAACATACTTTCTATTTTCATAGCTTTAATGCACGCCTTGGTTTTTGGTAATGTGACTGCTATCATTCAACGGATGTACTCCAGGTGGTCCCTTTATCACACAAGAACAAAGGATCTCAAAGATTTTATAAGAGTCCATCACTTGCCACAGCAGTTAAAGCAAAGAATGCTTGAATATTTCCAGACCACTTGGTCTGTCAATAATGGAATAGATTCCCATGAGGTAAAGCTTTTTTTGTTTTATTATTTCAATTTTTAAAAAGATCTATTTAGTCATTCTGGCTGAATTTCTGAAATAATGTTATTGGCAGATATAATAAAGAAATATACCCATGATCTCAAATTCCAAACGTATCCTCCAAATTTGCCTGTTTGTCCCCTAACTGCAAAGCCCTTTCAGTAAGTCAGTAAATGCGACAAATTTTTTATTTTAAAAACTACTAAAACAGTTAAGCTAGTATACAGTGTGTTAACTATTGCATGCATTAACATTTTAATGTGTTAACCATTCAACTATTGAATCAGGAATGTGTCTTCCCCTTCTGGACAGCTTCTAAAGGATTTTCCAGATGAGCTGCGCTCAGACATCACCATGCACTTGAACAAGGAGATTCTGCAGCTCTCCCTTTTTGAGTGTGCTAGTCGTGGTTGCCTCAGGTCTCTGTCTCTGCATATCAAAACCTCCTTTTGTGCTCCTGGGGAGTACCTCCTCCGGCAGGGAGATGCCTTGCAAGCTATCTATCTTGTGTGCTCAGGTTCCATGGAAGTTCTAAAAGATAGCATGGTGCTGGCAATTCTAGGTAAGCTTTCCTTTGTGCTGCATTATTGTGAAAAGGATAAAGGATCTGGTATCCCTGAGTCCTTTGGACCAATTTGTGAGAGAAGAGAAGAGCATTGCACTCAGCCCTAGTAGAAATGCCCTCATTGTCTGCACATTAACTAGCATCAGGCAGGACAATGAAGGCCTATGCTAACCAGTGCTGGGCCTTTCCATTCTACTGGTTGCCTATCTACCTGTCCTGTAAAGATATAGAAGTGGTTGCTTCTGGACCAAATAGAGACCTGTTTGAACCAATTGCTAAATTGCTGAACTCCACTTCGAATGAATGAGTTCAAAGGGACCTTGTATCAGGTCCAACCCCTTGCTTCATGCAGGAATCTTCTAAACCAGTGTTTTTTCAAACTTGGCAACTTTACTTAAAGCAGGATAAGTCACTAGACAGAAGTTTGCCCTGATATTGTTGTCTTTCTCACTATGGCAATGTTGCATGATCACATGGATCCTCTATTTCTCAGCACTGCTTTACTCACTCAGAATTTCATAAATGTTATAAACAGAAAAGACCTCAAGGCCACCACATACAGTATGTAAAGTAACTTCAACCACTGTTCTCCCACATCACAGCTTCCCCCACCCCATCCATGGAAGAATGAATGATAATCAGACTTTGCTTCAGCTTTTGTTCATTCTACCAAGGATCTACCTGGAAACTCTGCAGTGAAATATCCAATATCTTTTCTCCTGCAGTAGAACTTATGGTAGAACTCTTTTTAATGGCTATCAGCATGTTTATATTTGACTTCTGTGCCAATAAAAGCATTCTTTATGCTTGTTGACATCCATGCTTTTTCTATTTTTATATAGGTAAAGGAGATTTAATTGGAGCTAACCTTTCAATTAAGGACCAAGTGATTAAAACGAATGCCGATGTGAAAGCTCTAACCTATTGTGACCTCCAATGTATTATTCTCAAAGGACTTTTTGAAGTGTTAGATCTTTACCCAGAATACGCTCATAAGTTTGTTGAAGACATTCAGCACGATCTCACTTACAACCTTCGGGAAGGCCATGAAAGTGATGTAAGTAGTGTCAACATGACTGCTGCTACATCTAGCTTTAAAAATAGATCCTGCGTTTGGCAGTTCATTTATCAGAATAAAGAAACTATCATTTTAGAATGAATTTTGCTTGTGCTTGACTTGATAATTCAGTTGCTGCTTAAGTGAGTTACTGATTTTTTAAAAAGTATGCCTCAAATTATTCTTTATAATTCCCTTTAGTATGGGTTTTGTGCTTATATGCCTATATTTTGCTATTCTTCCTAACTCCACAAAACATTAAGTCAAAGTAATGTTAAAGGAAATCTTTTTCACATCCTGCTTAAAGGCATAATGCAAATATTACGCTAAAGGGACCTGCACTGACAGCTTCATGGATTTTAGAGTAGAGCTGCCACAATGTAACACAGAGTAAAATGTACCTATTAGTGTATTGTCATGGGGGAATCACAATACAAAATATATGATGGCTTTTAAAGTGGAAAGAACTCTTGAAACCTAGAAAGCAAGTCATCATTTGAAAGTAGTCCATTCATGAGTGGGGAGGGGATTAACTTCACAGCAAAGGGGTCTGCACTGCAATTCCAATAAAAATCCACTAGACAGAAAAGATTGAAAAGTATGTTTTTGGAAGTCAGGAGATTTGTTCAAATCAAATTTTTTGATTTTGCTTTTCTTCCAGTTAAGCTGTACTCTGTGCCCCCAGAGTCTTAAGGATTTCTCTGAATGGCCCAAGAAATATTGTAGCTAATTTTTAGTAGTGAGTTAGACTCCATCTATATAAGCCATGGATTTTAGGAATCAGCTACACTCTGTTATATTTTTTATAGCAATGGGATAAAGTGTGTTAGATGACAGAATAATATTTTGAGCTCCGCAGGGCTAGCTCTTGTATTGCCCTGGTAATGGTTGGCAACTCCTGTATAAGTTCCATTCATTGTCACTCCAAAAGCTTCAAAACATAGAAGTATGTGGGCAAGGATATGATGCCATGATTTTGTCCAGCACCATTGACCTGATCCTATTCCCAGTAATCCTAACAAAGAAAAAATTAACATCATTGGCTTCTTGAATAAGATCTCAGTTTCAATGTTCTATAAGAATCAAGCAGTAACAAACCATGCCTTCTCTGTTATAAAGGAGTGGGGAACTCATATTCTCCTAATGCTGGTGAATCACAAATCCTAACAGACCTAGTTAGCATGGCCTATGCTGAAGAATGCTGGAAATTATAGTTTAGCAACATCTGGAAATTCATAGGTTTCCCAGCCCTGGAGAACTCACAAGCTGCTCCTTGGTGATGGAAAGACAGATGTTCACTGTACGGACTATTCATTGTAGACCAGGATAGCCAGTAATATTTGTCACTAGTTAGACTAATTCATTGTGAAATCAAACATGAGAAGTCTTTCACTCAGATTTACTAATATGAAAGAACAAAATTACATCAAATCTTACTCTCCCTGCTGAACTTTAATTGGATTTTTCTATCTGTTTTCCAACCATATAGATTTCTGTCTGGCATTTGTTGATGAGAACATATTTGCATAAACTAATTGCCTAAAACAAAATCACATTGCTTCACATACTTCAACCTGAAAGAGGCAGGCTGGTTTAGAGACTCTGGCCAGGCTGCAGATGGGGACCAGCTGAGAAATGAGGGACTGCTCCCTAGAACCAATCACTGGGGGTGTCCACAGGGTATAGTGAAAAAGTGGCCACAATAGTGGCCACAATAGTGTGATCGAAGCTCTACCAGTTTTTTATGTGCATCACATGTGCAACAGACATAAAAAATGGGCAGAGCTTTAATTTCACTGTCACAGCCACCATCTTGACTATGGTATCCTGCGACACCCCTGCAATTACTTGAGGTAATTTGCATCAATCATAACATTTTGATAAAGCCAAGATATAAATAATATGTGCATGTTTTATGCTTCCTAGGATTTGTCTCATGGAGAGTTTAAAACATCAGATTATCTTATGGTCTTCATCGTTTTCAGTCCTTTGAACTGATGGGTTCTTGCATTAGGGCAAAAATGATCTGGCCATATCTGCCAGTTATATTAAAAAAAGATTTCTCTATAAAATAATTTTCCCTTTTAAAAAAATAATATTCAACATGTTAAGCGGCAGAAGAAGCAGATTCAAAAAAGAAGCAAGAAGAGAAAAAAGAATAAGAAAAACACAAAGTAAATAGATATGAGATTTGCAAACAAGTAAATTAAATAAATTAAGTAAAAATTCTCAGAATAATAATTGAGCTCTACATACTTAAATACCTTAAGTCATTCTAAAACTACAGATCATTATTAAAACTGAGTTAATGTACAAGCTATCAATGACAGTAATCAGTACAGTATGAAATGTAAATTAAAGTGAAAAATTACAGTCATAAGTAGTCAATACAAAACCTATCCTTGTTTAATAAATCACCCATGACTTAAATGTTAAAACATTATGTTAAGAAAAAATCAAATTTCAGGTAAAATATAAGCCAATGAGTAAAATTATAGCCCCAAATAGTTTCCATGTTGATTTAAATTCTGTATCAGATTTATTTTTCAAATACAATATAATATTCTTTGACAGGACAGGAAGTGCAGAGCAAGCCTATTCCAGCCTCACAGAGAAAATTTACAAAATTAGAAAGATAAGCTGAGTATCTCAAGAGGACCTGATGATGCAACAGAAACAATAAAGCCCAAACGGTTAGCAGAATTATCAGGAGCCAGCAATGTGTATTCATTGGGTAGCATTGTTATTGTGCTGCTTCCCTGTGGATTATTGGGACAACTCAAGTCTACAAACAGAAAATCAATCTTTTTAAGAAATGCACACAGAAAGATGTAGTACGTGCAGTATATTATGTATAGGATATACTATTATGCAAGCTATAACCATTTCTGTGTTGACAGTGCAAGGATTTATGTTTGTGTCTATTGAAGAGCTTCCTTTATTGCTCCTCTAATTGTTAGGAATGCAGCTACATGATGGCTTGGGAAACTTTGCTTACACCTAATTTGCACTCTTTACATGGAGTAGTATAGCCCGCTGAAATAATAATGTATTTCTACTTTATAATTTCCTGAATGACTTACAGTTAGATCAAGATCAGCACCAGAAACTTTGTTCTCAGAGCAGTTGATGTCAAAATTCTACACACAGTTTCAAAATGTAACTATGATATTGTGTGTGTGTGTGTGTGTGTGTGTGTGTATGACTTCAAATCAGTTTTGATTCCTGGTGACTGCCTGGACAAGATTTTTGGAAATGGCCTGCCACTGCCTTCTTCTCTGGGCTGAAGGAGAATGACTGGTCCAAAGTCACACAGCTCCTTTGTGCCTAAGGCAGGACTAGACTTCACGGTCAGGTGGTTTATAGCCTGGTGCCTTTCACCACCACACCAAACTGGCTCTAATAAGATAGATGTATCAGCCAAAAGATTTTGTGTTCTGTGACTCCCAGATCCCACTCTGGTCACACTGATGGAATCCATTGGTGAGAAGTTGCACAAGTTAAATATTTGTTTTTCTCTTTCACATATGGAAAAAATACAGAATACTTCTCTAATCAAATAGCTGCCCATCTTGTCTCTGTGTTTTCAGTCTGTCTAAGTATTCACCACTGTTCCTGTTTTAATCATGGGGAAAGGATTGCTTTAAATTGGCTTCCATATTGTTATTTCCATTTCAATAGTTTTTACTTCACTGAGAATTTGTTTTTTCTTACATTAAGCCAATAAGTTCAGCTACACTCAGTTGGGGAAGCAATCCTTCAACTCACCTCTCTGCATCTACAGTTCCTGGGTGTTTCTTTTATGAACCTCTGACACACAACCTGTCTGTACAGTACTGTTCAAACATTCCAAACAATGTGGGTTTGCAAAGAAGCAGGGCATAGATAGATAGATAGATAGATAGATAGATAGATAGATAGATAGATAGATAGATAGATAGATAGATAGATAGATAGATAGATAGATGATAGATAGATAGATAGATAGATAG